ACATACTCGTTCCTGGTTCTCTGGTATCTCTCTCTACTTTCTGGTGTTCTGTTATTACGGAAGTTCCTCCATGCCCTTTTGTTCAGCTCCTTTGCTTTCATACATTCTCTATTAAACCACGGATTCTTCCTTTGCTTCTGTTTTTTCCTGTTGGGCTGGGACAAACCTGCTTACAGCCTCCTGACATTTTTGGGTGACATAGTCCATCATGTCTTGTACGGACTTGGTTCCGAGTTCTGTGTCCCAATGTATATCCCATAGGAATTTATTCATCTCATAGTTTCCCTTTCGGTACGCCAGCCCTTTGTTTCCCAGTTCTTTTTTGGGGGTGATAATTCCTAGCTCAACCAGGTACTCAAAGCTCAATACACTATGATCACTCATTCCCAAGGGGGCTTCCAACTTAACTTCCCTTATATCCGACTCATTTAGGGTAAATAATCAGATCAAGCAAGGCTGGTTAATCCCCTCCTCTCGTTCTTGTCGGTCCCTTGATGTGTTGACTTAGAAAGTTTCTTGTTGCCACATCCAGCAGCTTAGCTCTCCATGTGTCTGGGCCTCCATGTGGGTCTCTGTTTCCCCAGTCTATCTTTCCATGGTTGAAGTCTCCCATGATTAGTAGCCTGGATCCGTTCCTGCTAGCCACAGAAGCTGCTCTCTCTATTATATTGATGGTGGCCAAGTTGTTTCTATCATATTCCTGTCTGGGTCTTCTGACATTCGGTGGGGGGTTATATATGACTACTACTATAATTTTCTGTCCTCCAGTTGCTATGGTACCTGATATGTAGTCACTGAAACCTTCACAGTTCTGAATTGCCATCTCTTCGAAACTCCAACCTTCTCTTAGTAGCAAAGCTACACCACCATCTCCTCTCCCTTCTCTCTCTTTCCTCACTACATAGTAGCCCTGTGGAAACACTGCGTTTGTTATAGTGTTTGTTAGCTTTGTTTCTGTGAGTGCTATTATGTCTGGGTTTTCTTCTAGTGCCCATTCTCCGAGTTCACTTGTTTTATTTGTAATTCCATCTATGTTAGTGTACATTGCCTTGAAGCTCACTTTCTTCAGTTCATTTTCTTGTCCCATTCTTGGCGAGCATTCTGCTGGTGTGGGAAGCTTTTCAGTGGGTGAGATGATCTGTGAGGTGGTTTGCAGGGTTTCAGGGGAGTTTGGGGTGAGGGGTGGGGGTTTCATGAAAGGGGGGACAGGTAGGGTGTGGGTTAAGGAGATAGGGGGGACATGGAGGATACAGGGTGAGGGGGGGGAGGAGGGATAGGGAGGGTATGGGATGAAGGGGGAGGGGGGAACAGGGGGTGAGTATTGCTGCTTGCTGGTGACTCAATTTACCCAATTGTGGATGATCATCTTCGGGTACAGGCTGCGCAGGTGTTGCATTCTAGGTTTTGTTTGTTGCAATGCGCTTGGTTTGTTGCTCATCCGGATGCCCTGCAGCTGCCCCGTTTTGCTTATAGGGACCCGGACTTGGGGTGGGGGTCGCTTCGACCCTGGTTCAGTCCGCACCTCCTAGTCCTTCCCCTTCTGTTGTTCGTTCAAGTCCCCCTCCCCTGCTTCCGGCCCCAAAACGTCTGAGGGTTTCGGAGTCGGGGCAAGGGTTAGTTGGTCTTGAGACTTGGGCAGCCTCGGGGGATGCCCCATCCGGTGTGGCAACAGAGGCATTCGAGTCGCCTTCCCCGGCCAAAGCCTCTGGGTCTGACCCCCAGGATGTTGGTGTTGTTCAGCTCCATGTGCAGGTTCCCTTCCTTTTGGCGGCGCAGGTGGTGGAGGACTTGCACGCTCGGGGCCTTTTGGTTGTGGCCTTGCGCTTCTTTTCCCTCCTGGAGCTCTCATCTGACTGCCCCACGAAAGATGTGGGGGCGTTTGGGGCTGTTCCTGGGTCTGGCGCCTTGACCTCTGCGGCTCGCTCGTTGGCTGCCTTGCTGAAGTTCTTCGCGTCGATCTTACGGGATGCGGTTGCTCTGTTTTATACTTCCCGGCTCGTGTTTGTGCTTGCCTCCTCAGTGGAATCCGCTTGGGCCTTGGCTCTTAGGACGTCTTGCCCTTTTTATCCTCTCTTGTTTGAGGCTTCCGCCGTTGCGCAGTATATTCAGGCTGTTTCGGCTTCTTGCCGTCCTATGTCGGACTTGCTGGTTTTCCGGGGGTCCCGTGGTGGACCTTCCCAGAAGGGTCATGCCAAGGCTCAGGGTTCCTCTCGTCGTGGTAGGCCACTGGTGTCAGGTTCGGGTTTGGCTCTTCCATCGGACCTGCCTTCATCTGGTTGGCGCAGTGTTCGTTCTGTGCGAGGTTCTGGGTCACATAAGAGGCGCCGGTCCTTTTGTGGTTCGCCCCATTGGCGGGGTGATGTGGGGGGGAGGCTTGCGCTGTTCGCAAGTATGAAGTTTTCTGGCGGTCCTTCCAGTTCTTACATCTTTGTCGTTGTACTTCACTTTGTTACGGTGGTGTTGTCCTTTCTCTTTCCCTCTTGGTTGTTCCAGGACCGTCTCCTTATGCCTAGCACTGTCACCTCATATTGTGCAACGCTGGCGGAGCCCCTTCAGCTTGCCTTCGGTATTGATGTCACGTCTGCACCGTTTCGCAAGCTGTCTCGGGCGTTGTTTCACCTCCGGCCTACTCATGCGCCACCTGAGCCGTCCTGGTCCTTGGACAAAGTGCTCTCTCTTTTTTTTTTTTTTTTTTTTTTTTTTTTCTCATTTTGTTGTGGCTCCTTTGGTTCTGGATTGTTTTTCGAAGGCTCTTTACCTGTTGGCATTGGCCTCTGGGGGTCGGGTGGATGAGCTTCATGCTTTCCTCCGGTACAGAGGTTTCTACTCCTTCGGTCGGGGTGATCGGTTTGTTCGTCTGCAGCCTTCTTCTTTTCTGGCGAAGAATGAGTGCTGCTTTCTGGAGGGGTCCCTAGTTTGTTGGTGGCTGGTTAGGCTGGGGTGCATCATGTTTTGTGTCCGGTTGCAGCTCTCCGCTGTTATTTGCGCGCCATGGCTTCTGTGTCCGTGGATACGTTTTGGGTTGATCCAGTTTCCCTTCTTCCCTGTTCGAGGGTGTGGGTCTCCCAGGTCGTCCGCAGGGTTATTAAGTCTAGCCAGCCTGCGGTCTATCCCCATGCCCATGACGTCCGCAAGTTCGCGGCTCTTGCCGCCATCTTCAGCAATACTGTATATCCTGGGCTGACATTCGGGCGCGGAGATTTTGGCAGTCAAACAGGGTCCTTGCTGCTCGTTACCTTGCAAACGTTCCTGGGCCCAGTCGGGCCTGTGTTGCTTTGGGTCGGTGGATGCAGCCAGTTGTCTCGACTTTGGGTTGAGGAGTGAGCAGCAACCGCCTCTCGGGTAAGTCCCTATTCTTTTCCTTTGTGGGTAGTTAGCTCCGTGGAGCCATAGGGGCTACCCGCAGAAAACCAGCGTTGAATGTAATGAAACGCCATTTTCTGGGCGAGTCCCGGAGGCTCCCTGGCATCCCTCCCTCCAGTCGACATCTTTTTCGCGTGTTTTGACATCCAGCCTCAGAACTGCGGGTGTGGATCATCAGCGCGGTAGGTCTGAGGCTACCCCTTCCCCCTCCCGGGGAGGGGGGGGGAGCTGTGCAGACTGTGGAACGACGACGGGTGACGTCGTACTAGTTTGTTTTGGGACACTTACGTTTCTGGGTGCCTAACCCGGTCGATGGCAGACATAGAATGCTTCCAATTACACGGCGGTTTCTGTAGGCCATTTCTCCCCTTGCCTCTCTAGAGGGGCCAAGCTCTGGCTCGTGGTCCCCGGTAGGCCCATAAGAACTCCATACACATGACTGATGCCAAAGTTTGACATTAGCATATCAGTCTAGTAAGCTCCGGGGAGTCTCCGGGACTCGCCCAGGAAATGGCGTTTCATTAGATTCAACACTGGTTTTATGTTCAAATACCCAAAAATCCGAAAAACGCTGAAATTCTTTACAAAGAATTCACTAGGCAGGAGGCACTGGTAAACTGAGGCACGGTCGCCATACCATCACCCACGATATCGGCCATACGTGCATCAACAGACTTCGTTTCCCGAGGCAAAGTTCATAACCCGATATGGATTTTACGAAGAAATTGGGCTCGTAACCCGAAAAGTTTGTAAAGAGGGGCATTTGTAAGCCGTGGTGTCACTGTACAGTACTGTAAATTTAATATTGGGTTTTGGTCATTTAATTGATCCAAAAACACATTGATGGAATTCTCATCAGCATCATCACTGCAAAAATACCAACATATCTCTTCCAAAAATAGAATTTTTAGACCAATTAAGGTAATGTTGGGTAAGAGACTTGCCTGATAAAATTCCATGTACAGGTTAGCCAAAATAGGCAAGGGAAGAGCCATAGTTACAGTACTCCGTAAGTTTGTTTGTGAACTGGCTGACCCAGTGTGCCTCCCTCCTCCCCACCCCCCTTCAAACGAGGGGGAGGGGTTGAGGCAAACTAGCTGGTGCTAGTTTCACAAAATTTTGGTTGTTTGTTTTTACTGTTGGAGAGTTCTTTTAGCAGCTTTAAGACTATGGTCTTGTTTTCAAGTCCTGCAATAGTTTGTTTTGGTTCACCCACTTTACTGGGTGCTTTCCTGGTGGTGGTAAGTATGATTAAATTTTAATTTTAAAGTTTTTATAGGCCATCACTCTTGCATCTCTGAGGGGGCCAGGTTCTGGCTCATGGTCCCTGGTTGGCCAATAAAACTCTGTGACTGATGGCACCTGATAGTATGGCACTGATCATTGATCAGTGTATTATAGCTTCAGGGGAGCCTCCAGGGTTTGCCAAGAAATTGGTATTTCATTACATTCTTCATCAACAATTAGGATTGGCTTCAAATGGTGAGTGGCTTTAGGGTATATAGAATCACGCTAGTGCTCCAGTTTTATTAAAGCCAAATTGCAAACTGATAAGTTTTTCTTAAATATTTATTAGAGCAAGTTGTTTGAGTCAGTCAAGATGTGAAATAAAGTACTGTACTGTATAAATTTTGCAGTCGACCAGTGGGTGTGTGTTGGTGTTGGAGTCTTGGAAGGCAGAGAGTGGAAACATCTTGCCGAATTGTGATTCTCCAGCATCCACATGAAGAGAAACGCTGCCTCCGTACTGCTCCAATTCTGCAGACAGCTCTACCTAAGGGATCTTATGTTGAAGTAAAGGGAAAACGATTTCCATTTTCAAGGTACAGTACTGTAATTGTATCGTGTAATCAATGATGTCCATCATGGATTTATACGTTCTCCAGAGGATCCTCATAGTTATTAATGCTTGTTTTACTGCCTGAGTCATCCATCTAGTTCCCTTTTGTTTCTTCCTCCGTTTTGGCACATATTTTAGAACGCGTTCCAAACGAATGCGAAAGTAAATCTGTGACTACACATGTTCACATTTATTGAGATTTACACTTCTAATTCTTTCAAAACGTGAAATAATTGTATAGTGGATACTAAACATAACTTCCATGTTTTGAATGACAAATTAGATGTATACAATGCTATTGGACATGTGTATATTCTGTAATACGTACAGAAAATACAGTGTAGAAGTTAAAGCAAGTTGATTACATGCCTTCTACACAGGGTTATGTTTCAAGGCATGTAGCATGTTAATGATTTTATATTTTCAGATGTTCTGTTAATAAGCAATTGGTATGGAAATATGGTTCACATTTTTTCTTTCATCTAGATTCCCAGAGCTGGAGGATATATTCACGAGTGAGAACTCAATTCTCATGTATCCAGGAGAGAAAACTATGAGTTTGGAGGAGCTTCCACATGTGGGAGAAGATAACCAATCTCCATACAATATCATTATTATTGATGGCACCTGGCAGCAGGCAAAATCAATGTACCATAATTGCCGCCATCTGCACTCCATGCGACGAGTGAGTAATATGTTAACCTTTAAAAATAGTTTATTACCGTATTTGTTCAATTATTTATTGTTCCTTGTAAGAAAAAGGCCATACAGTAAATTTGTTAGGATAGTGAGTTAAAAATTATATATTCTTAAGGTGCCCTTTTGAAAGTTAAATTTATTGCATTTAAAGAGATCTATTATATTTAACCTATAATGATTCCATGCTTGTGTCTTTTGATCTCCTGGCCCTCTTGCAATTTCTGTTGAACCCACCCTGTTTCCTAAGTCTGCATCTCTGTTTTGGTATGAATGCTTGTGTGCCTTCATCGTATATTTTGCAAAATTTGGCAGACATCTCATTTAGTGTACTTCCTTGCCTAGCAACAAGTCTGTCCAATTATATCCATGGGAAAAAATTGTCTTAAGTTCTCCATAGCGTCCTCTCTTGAAATAGAGTTTAACAACTGTTTCAATGTCTCCATTCTCTACTAGATTATATCACAAAGTGTATTTAATGTCTAATAGGACATGATCACTCTTTCCCAAGGGAGGAAGGTACTGGATGTCAAATACCTCTTCTTTTCTGGTGAATATTAAATCCAGTACTGACAGAACATCTCCTCTCATTCGTGTGGCCTGCTTGACATGTTGATACATGAATGTCTCCAAAAGGAGGTTTACAAATCTGCCTGTCCAAATGTCCTCCATTTTTGCCTCGCAGGCCTCCCAGTCTATTGCCTTAAAGTTGAAGTCCCCCAGTACCAACAATCGGGATTTGTCTTTGTCTGCTCTTACCATAATCTTTCTCATGACCATTATGAGGCTCTCATTTGTCATCCAGTTTTTCTTTGTCCATGTGTTGCTTACTGGTAGGCTGTAGGCATTTAAAATTATCAGCTTATCCTGATTCCAGACCTTCAGTGCCATTATGTCAATATCTCGAGGGTTTTCAATTATTAACTCTCTTATCTTCAGGTGTTCTTTCACCGCATAGCCACTCCTCCCCCCCTTCCTAGTTTTCCCGTCACATCTCCAAACCGAGTAGCCCCTTGGGAATACGATGTCATTTAAAATATTTTCTTCAAGTTTCGTCTCTGTTAATGCGACAATATCTGGGACCTTAAGCTGAATTTTATCCTTCAACTCCAATATTTTTTTATTTCGCTCCATCTTTGTTGGGTGTGTGTGTATAATAATAATATTGTGTGTATGGGGGGGGACTACAGTATTAGAAATCATTATTACAACGTTTGTATTTCAGGTTAGTTTATCGGGAAAATTCATAAGCGAATATGTAATCCGCACCCAGCCTACGGAATATGCTCTGTCAACTGTTGAAACTGCAGCTATTGCATTGGCCACATTAGAACAAGATTGGGCTATTTATAATACACTCGTTCACCCTCTCCAACTCCTCTGTCAGTATCAGGTATGTTCCATATTCTTTTAAATGTACAATAGATACTAGCTAATAAATGGAGTTTGGTTTCTAACCCTAGTGTGAATTGGACTATTTGAATGATGATACTCTTGTCCCAACACCTATTTTTGGGAAATACGTGTCTTGCAACAGGTACCTTCTACTTCTCAGATGTATTCATTTTGAGAATAGTGACAACAGATAGCAAATAATAGACTGGAAATTGACGCACATCTTCAGTGACCTAAATGGAAATTATAAAGATTTCTGTGTACCAGAAAAGGTCAGAAGGTCAGAAGCTGGTGATTGGCAAGTCACTTGTGCTTTTCAGAGGACATCTTGCTTTCAAACAGTATGTTTCCTCCAAAACCCACAGATTTGGAGTCAAAAATTTTTATTCCGATTCGGAGACAAGAATGGTCGTAGACATTTTAGTACTTTATTCCAGCACCGATGTAAACATTTCCCACTAATGATGGCTCCATTGCTGAACAAGGTAGGTAGGACCTCATTTTATATACATACAACTAATATACAGATTTACTGATTTATTTATATATACAAGAGTTCTTACATTCTTGTAAAGCCACTAGCATGCATAGCATTTCAGGCAAGTCCTTAATCCTAATTTTCCTCGGAATACAACCCGCTAAATCGTTTAACAACCAGGTACCCATTAAGTGCTGGGTGAACAGAGGCGACAGTTAAGGATTGGCGCCTAGTAAATCTTCCCCGGCCAGGATACAGACTCGAGCCAAAGCACCCGCAAAACGCCAGGCGAGTGTGTTACTACTTCGCCACGCGGACTGCTTTAAGTTCTTTGTTATGTTCCCAATTCAACATAATACTGGAGAGAGAAGCCCAGTACAACTTATGAAATGGCAAAAATAGAATGTCAATACTGTAAGCCAACAAAAAGAGGCTCCACCACAACCGAACAATAAGACAGTACTTTATAAGGCAAGAAAGCCGCAAATGCAGCACGAGCTGACCCGCCTTCTGTTTCCCATACAGGTGGTACATCTGACTGAAATATCATACCCAAAGATTGGTGGAGAGCCTTGTACCAACAAAGAATATCTAACTAATCCTCTGTGAAAAGGTGGTGCCCTATAAAAGCGTGCAAATTTGGACACTGAGCTTGAACCGGCCACTAAAGAGCCAAAAGGATTACTCTTAACAACATAAGTCTCCAGCCTGGAGAGAATGGGGAGCAGATGTTGAACTGAAGGGAACAGATAAAGAAAATCCAACTTCAAGCATCACTGTAAAAATGACTAATAATAGCAAATATAAAAAGGATACAGATGGAATATATTGTGACATTACTGATAGTAAAATATTCACAAATTAAACTATAGAAAAAATATTCATGGTTAGAGTTGATACAGGGATGGAGATGGATATCAAAATGGTACGAGAGGTTGAATGAGTGTATCTAAGAAAAAGTATAAAAGGCATTACAAATTTGTCCAAAATGCAATTTTGTAAGATGTTATTATTAGAAAATGATTGTGATAAACAAAATTGTACATGTACCATTTATAATTTCATTTTGCCTTTTCAGATCAAGCATGGTGCGGTGCCTCATCAAAGCAAGGAACATATGATCACATCAGGGCGTTGTAATAAGTCATTAGGAAAACGAACCTATAAAAAACTCCGCAAGTGTGGTGCTAAACAGGGCGATTCACTGTCAGAGTTCATGGACTCTCTCACCTTATTTAATAGTCAAATAGAAAACATTAATCATGAAGAGGGAATGCATAATTATGATGTCAGGTCTCATGACAGACATGACAAAGCCGAAATGAATCTTGCTGAAAGTGAAAATTGTGCCCATGAAAAAAATAGTGGAAATTCTTCTGGTAATGAAACGGAGACCTTGAACGTGTTTCATCAGATTCTTCCCATTTTGAATAATAATGCCATTGATTCATCTCCAAGTTTTAGATGATACAGAATTTTTACTGCCAAGAATTTAAAAATTCTAGATTTTTGTAGTATTCAAGAGAGAAAATCTTTGAAATTCTTGGAACCTTATTCCTATATTTGCAGCTTATTAAAATGGAAAGTTCATGGATTTTCTTGATTCTAGTTTTAAATTATGTATTAATTTATTTTACTATAAATCATGTTGTGATCAAGAGCCAACATTGGTTGTGACTCAGTTTTGCTGAGCTTCATGCCATATTGGTGTTGTCTCTAGTGATATTTGAGTCAGGTCCTTCATTGGAATCCTCGATGAATCATTCCTTTGATATCACTCGTCTCGTATTGACATCCTAATTTTATATCTAAGAACTCTTATTATTCTGTAACACAGTGCTATATAGTTTTCTGGGCTTTGCATTTCCTTTTGATAATTACAGGCTTGACAGTTTCTTTTTGTTTGTTACCAACCGAACGTTAGGAATGCACAATAATGAAATGCAGAACAGAATTATCTGAAAATGGATGTTTCAGTGTATGCCAAAATTTGTAATTCGTAATTCTACTATGCAAATTTGGTCTACTATTTAAGTCTGTCTACTATGCAGACCTGACCTTCAAGTATCTTCCATGTATGTATTATGTGATACCTCTCCTGTCTCTTTTTCCAGAGAGTACACTTTGAAAGCTTTGAGATGGTTCCAATAATTGAGGTAATATAGTGTCTGTGTGTGCCATGTATGTTCTCTATATTCCATCCATTTAAGAAATCTCTCCTGCTCTGAAAAATAAAGTGAGACCCGAGCAGTACTCAAGGCATGACCAGCCAACCAAATAATTCACAAACCTAGTGTGACTGAGGACACATGTCTGTTGGGCCCAATGTTGACTTTTTGATCAGTGATGTTGGCTGTCATTTTTTGCTTCATGTGTGTTCCTATACTACTTTGCATGTGCTCTCATTCATGCTTTTCCCATTTTCTTGGAGGTATTTTTTTTTCCAGTCAATCATAATGCTATCTGCACCCATTGGCTAGTTGGTAATGTTTTACAGATAACAAATTGTGAACTATTAAATGTGCCTGTCCCTATGGGCTATCCTCCTGTTACAGCAATAGGTGGAATGGAAATGGTTCTGACTAGGCTTCATGTTGGCCACATGCATTTAACTCTTGGGCTCTTAAATGAACAAAGCCCTACTCCTTACTGTGTGAACTGCATTGTTCCAGTTATAGTTGCGCTGCCTCCTTGTAGAATGTCCTGATTTTCAAGATGATCGTAGATCTTGGTGTTCCCAGTGTCTTTTTGACATTGTTCATTAAACAAGATCCTCAGTGAATCCAATGTAACTCGGCTTAAGATTTTTTGCTTTATCATTGGCATCTTGAATGATATTTAGAACCTTTTGAATATCCTGCAACAGACAATGCTAAATAGCCTTCCTGGCTTATGGCCATTTTTTGATACTTGCAGTGTCCGGTGTTCATAGTATGCTTCAGCTATTATAGCTATGCTTATCTTTCTTGATGGTTGGCTCGCATCTCCACTGTCCCTCCATAATTTTTTTTCCCTGCAGGGTTTTGGTTGCCTTCATTCAAGGAAACAAAGTACAGTACAGTACTTCCTTTCCTGTAGTGCATTGGCTCTTGCCTTGCTGCGATTCCTGTTGTTGGGAGTGATAGTTTCTAACAATTTTCTAGTGTGCCTTTAGTATCTCGCTCACTCTTTACTGATGCTCTGGCTATGATATAAGGTTGGGGTTGGTATCTATATTATCATTGGAGACCAATGACCTTCACAACCCAGGCCAACATGGATTTCGAGCAGGAAGATCGTGCCTCTCACAGCTACTTGAGCACTACAACAAAGTCACTGAGGCATTAGAAGAAAAACAGAATGCTGATGTGATATACACGGACTTTGCAAAGGCTTTTGATAAATGTGACCACGCACAAAATGAAGTAAATGGGAATAACCGGTAAAGTAGGATGCTGGATACTCTGTTTTCTGTCAAACAGGACTCGGCGAGTAACGGTCAACCATATAAAATTTAGTCCAAGTGCAGTTAAAAGCTCTGTACCTCAGGGTACAATCCTTGCACCGCTGCTTTTCCTTATTCTCATATCAGATATAGACAAAAATACAAGTCACAGCTTCGTATCATCCTTTGCAGATGACACAAAAATCGGTATGAAAATTATCTCGGCTGAAGACATTGAAAAACTTCAAGCTGATATTAATAAAGTTTTTGACTGGGCATCAGAAAATAACATGATGTTCAACAGTGATAAATTCCAGGTACTCGGGTACAGTAAAAATGAGGACCTTAAACATAATACAGAGTACAAAACACAATCAAATGTACCCTGATTAAACCTAAATTATTGGGATCGTCTCAAAGCCCTCCAAATGTACTCACTAGAAAGAAGACGAGAGAGATATCAAATAGTATACACCTGGAAGATACTGGAGGGCAAAGTACCAAATCTACACAGTAAAATAACAACGTACTGGAGTGAACGACATGGAAGAAAATGTAGAATAGAACCAATGAAGAGCAGAGGTGCCATAGGCACAATCAGAGAACACTGTATAAACATCAGAGGTCCGCGGTTGTTCAACGTCCTCCCAGCAAGCATAAGAAATATTGCCGGAACAACCGTGGACATTTTCAAGAGGAAACTAGATTTATTCCTCCAAGGAGTGCCGGACCAACCGGGCTGTGGTGGGTATGTGGGCCTGCGGGCCGCTCCAAGCAACAGCCTGGTGGACCAAACTCTCACAAGTCGAGCCTGGCCTCATGCCGGGCTTGGGGAGTAGAAGAACTCCCAGAACCCCATCAACCAGGTAACCAGGTATCAACCCATAGTAGGAAAACAGCATGTAAAGGATTTGGGAATAATAATGTCTGACGACCTAACGTTTGAGCATAACCAAGCAAATATTGCGACAGCCAGAAAAATGATAGGATGGATTACAAGAACTTTCAAATCCAGGGATTCCATCACAATGGTTGTACTCTTCAAGTCACTTGTGTTGTCCCGTCTTGAGTACTGCTCAGTACTCACTTCCCCCTTCAGAGCAGGAGAGATTACTGAAATAGAAGGAATACAGAGAACATATACGGCATGCATAGACGCGATAAAGTGCCTAAATTATTGGGATCGTCTCGAAGCCCTCCAAATGTACTCACTAGAAAGAAGACGAGAGAGAGATATCAAATAATATACACCTGGAAGATACTGGAGGGCCAAGTACCAAATCTACACAGTAAAATAACAACGTACTGGAGTGAACGATATGGAAGAAAATGTAGAATAAAACCAGTGAAGAGCAGAGGTGCCATAGGCACAATCAGAGAACACTGTATAAACATCAGAGGTCCCCGGTTGTTCAACACCCTCCCAGCAAGCATAAGAAATATTGCCGGAACAACCGTGGACATTTTCAAGAGGAAACTAGATTTATTCCTCCAAGGAGTGCCGGACCAACCGGGCTGTGGTGGGTATGTGGCCCTGCGGGCCGCTCCAGGCAACAGCCTAGTGGACCAAACTCTCACAAGTCAAGCCTGGCCTCGGGCTGGGCTTGGGGAGTAGAAGAACTCCCAGAACCCCATCAACCAGGTATCAGGAGTTCATAACTATTGCCAATTCCTCCTTGGGACTCATTCTTTGTGGGCAAGCATAGCTTTGCCTGCCTCCAGGCCTGAAACTGCCATATGTGGTTTTCCAGAGTGTGGGTTGTTCTTGGTCTCCATTGGTCACTCTTGCCATCACTCCATCTGTTGGTGTCAGGGAAATTCTTTCACCCTTAGGAGTGTGATGTGTATTGACATTTGACTCCTGTTTTAGTCAAGCCACCCTTCTAGTCTAGTATTCACTGTGAGATTGGGCTTCCTGGACCTGTCTTTGGAGTCTCCTTTTGGAGTCAGTTGGTGGGTGTGCTGCTTTCCCCTTGTAGGGCCTCTTAAGTCATTTAAAGGCTGTTCCATCTGTCTTCTGTTTGCTAGGGTTCTTAGCCTCCATTAGTTCAGGCCCTACAGCTTCTTCAGGCTGGGGTTCCACAGGCTCCGATAAATAGGGGCTGGTCGATTTGTGGCACTTGCAAAAGCAGCAGGATTTTCAATTTCCTGTATGTCCCTTTGTGGTTTAGTGGCATTATGCCTTTTTTGTGGTCCCTGTTGTCTATTTTGTTCTTGGTTGTTCTTGCCACTGTGTCTGGGGGTCTGGTCGACTTGGCTTGGTTACCTTTAGCCAAGGTAAAGATCCTTTAGCCCCCCCCCCCCTCCTCCAACTCAAGGAAGAGTTCATTGGGGTTCTTGAGGATGGAGATACATCATCTATAGCTCTGTACTGTATATTTAATGAAGAGTTTATTTTGCTGGTTTGGTGCCTTTTTTTGATAATTACTTATTTTGCTGCAAGTTAATTAATGTACTTTAAAAATGCTGACAAAGATTATCTTTGGATACTGGTGGAAGATGAATATATTAGTAATAAAGGTTCTGATGTATTCAAACTCTTGAATTACCAGAAATAGTGGTACTATGGAGCGGTAAGATGTGCATTTTTGCTGGCTGGGCCACTGGAATATTTTGCGCAGATGCTGATGAATGAAAATGAATTGTTGAAGGCAAAGGTCCATCTGTAGAGTTGTTAATTTTTTATTTTATCTTACTGAAGGTTTTTCATGCCAATATTTGTTTTAATAACAGGATTGTGTAAGTTCTACTTATTACCGCAGAGCATCTCGGTGGTCTTCTGATTGTAGCATAGTCCATTTCTTTACACGATCAAGCTTTTGTTAATAGATTTAAAGTGAATTATGTTTTGTTTGAGTCACTGATTGTCTTTTTAGTTGTGATTTAGTTAAGAAAACTTAAGTGTTTGAGTAATGATGCTTTATACAATTAATAAAAATCAAAATGTGCCTGGTATATGTAAACACTAAACCCATGCATCACAGATATAGCAACATGACATTTTGGTTCATCCTGAAATTCTTATATACTGTACCTCTGTCTAGGCATCAAGATGTGTAGAAATAATTTAAGAGAAATATCTAGCAACCTTGCATCACTTTTTCATCAGAGGTGTTGCCACCATTCTTACGATGAGTGGTGGTCTTTATTGTAGAACTTGCGTTCTACAGTAAAACTGTAGCCGAACAGCACCGTTAGATTGCCATCACTTATACCTTCACAACACTCATGCCAGCTATGTTATGAAAGATGTAAATAAAGCCTTGATGCAGCAACTTATGCGAGACAATAATTAATAGAGGTGAACTGCACTTTATATGTGAAGGGTATACAGTATATAATTTTGTATAATTTGTTCTATTAAAGGAGTTAATTTATTGAAACCCTATACAGGAAGACCAATAAAACAAATGTCACAAGTACCCAATATAGGGAAACAAAAAGAATAATTGTGCCTGTCTGTTGCATTATTTTCATATCAAATTTTACATAAACATTACTGATCAAGGTTACCTGAGAATTCCTCAGTACAGTATTAGTTTAATGTATATTTTTGTTACAGGTACAATCTTAGTGTGGGAGTGGACATTTGCTCAGTGATGGGTTCTAATCCCCTCCCCTCCTCCAGCCTACTGTGGCAACTGACAACACAGGGTCACAACAGTGTCAGGATTCTCATTTGTGTCACTGGACCACCTGTGAAAGGCCATCCTGTGTGGATGGATTGGGAGTCTGGGCCTGACGATGAGGAGAGAGCGACTGCACTGGTTCGTACTCATACCACCCTCACTGCCCTGGCAGATTGTATCCCAGGTCATGAGGTCTGCCCTAATAATTAAAAAAAATTTATGGGAACCGACTGCTGGCTCAATGATTTTCGCTGCAGTGGGCCCTGACTTGACATCATCATCTGATCACACTCTCGATTCTCTCTCCCCAGTGAAATCCTGTCTGCCACTTTTATAGCAGTGTCTACCATGTCACCTAGTCTGACATGCTCTTTGTTCCTTATAATTTCTTTGTGATTGTTAGTGTGACCATATACCCTGACAATAATAGCAGACTGGCTCTGCAATCACCAATGTTCCATAACAAATTTGGTGTACATGTATGGACTAAATATTTTTTAGTCCTTCAGCAGGTAGTTGTTGATCTTCAATTGCACATTCACCCGCTTCAGTATGCCTTTTGTACTTCTGTGTTGGGTTTGGTTCCAGTTTAGTGCCAAAAATGTCCAGGTGAATGCTATTAGTGGCACTACTGGTATTGTTCTCCCACCCTATATCTGTTGGAGATGACTATATCTCTTTGAGCTTGCCATAAAGATATAAAGATTACCTTAAGGCACACTTTTGTCCTGTTGTCCAGGTTGGGTAGACTAGCACCTGCAGGAGGGGTTGCCCATGAGGAGGCCACACTTGGAGGTTGGTTGGGTGTCCAGGCTGGAGCAAGAGGGAGAAGGTCTTTGCAACAGTGTAGGAGAATGCATGGTGTACTAAGACTTCCCTATTAAAAAAAAGAGGGAGGATACACAGCTTGGGACGATACATCCACTTCCTGCACTGACAAACGCTTGTCCTCCCATGCTAGGTGGTATTCCTTGCCTTTTGAGTCCAAACTTTTGAATAAGTTAAATACAGGGTATAGTAAATGAAAAGACTCCTCAAACACAGGCTCGTTCGTGGTTTGGGCGACTAGGTTCCCCGAGTCGGATGGTGATGGTAGATCGGGCTGTATAGCCTCCAGCTATGTTGGGCCCAGGCCAGGCTTTATATTTTTCCTACCCCAACTCAGCTCTCTGTTCCCCCTCACACTTGGCAGGGTTGAGCCCCAAGACCTGTGGTGACTACTTTCTCATTTGGTCCCCCCCTCCCTGTCTGGCCCATTGCTGCTGTGAGGAGGCTAGGTGGGTGGCTGCCGGA